CCCAAAATCAATTCTTCTAATTTGCATCTTCCCCTTGTTTCTGATTACTTTGATGATCCTAGGAAGATTAATTCTATTCATTTAGTCAATCAATTGCATGCCAAGGTGATTAAATTGCCCCAAATTAGGTATTCCGATGAAATTTCCAAGGTATTGATTACTTCTTACTTGAAATTTCAAGATTTTGAGTCTGCTTTAATGGTTTTTTCCCTGGGTTTTGGGAGGAATTTTGTGGTTTATATGGTCAAATAAAGAATAATTCGATACCATTTTATTTTATAATTTTTTGCACTGATGTTATTTTGTCTTAACAAAGACTTATCAAATCGGCAGTGTTTATACCAATGAAAGAGACTTGGAAGATGGAACAACTTGCGAAGGCTTACATATATCAAACATGTTGTGAGACTACATAGAGTTCCTAAGGATATCGTTTCATATATGGATTATAGGTTTATTTCGAAACTCTGGAAAAGCGTGCAATAAAACTTTGGTATGACATTGAAGATTAGTACAGCATTCCATCCTGCAATGGATGGACAATCAGAAAGAACCATCCAAACCTTGAAAGACATTTTAAGGTCATGTGTGTTAGATTACCAAGGAGGATGGGAAGACAGCTTAGACTTGATAAAATTCTCTTACAACAATAGTTATTATGCAAATATTAGCATGGCACTATGTTGGAGCGATATAAGTGAGACAATTATTCTAGGTCCTCAAATGATAGAGGAAACCACGAAGCAAGTGAGAGAAATTCAAGCTAAGATTCAGGCAGCACAAAATAGACAAAAGAGCTACGCGGATTAGAGCGTAAAGAAGAGGAATTTCAAGTTGGTGACAAGGTATTGCTTAAGGTATCACCAATGATAGTAGTTATGAGGTTTGTAAAGAAGGAAAAATTGAGTCCAAAGAACATAGAACCTTATGAGATTTTACAAAGGATGGGGAAGGTAGCCTATAGATTGGCATTGCCTATGGACTTTAGTAAGGTGCATGATGTGTTTCACATGTGTCAATTGAGAAGGTACATCCTGGATAAGTCACATGTGTTTCAACCTGAGATCATAGAACTAGATCAAAGTCTGACCCACGAGGAAAGACCTGTAAAGATCCTTGATAGTAAAGTGCGTAATACACGCAAGAAAGATATTAAGATAGTAAAGGTTTTATGGTCAAATCGAAAGACTGAAAAAAAAAACATGGGAAGCCGAGGATGAAATGAGAAAGAAGTACCTAGAGTTGACAATAAAAGGATATTGCTTGTTTTCACTAATCCAAAGGGAATTCGAAGGAGAAGTGGTCCATGTAAATTCGAAGTTGACAATATGAAATTTACCCATGCATTTGACTTTCATTATTAGTGAAAAAGAATGTAATCTCATGGGATATTGATTAAAGGCAAATTCGAAGGAGACTTATCCCATGTAAAGGAAATCCCCACCCCTAATTTCATGTAATGGAAATTTATCCCACAATCTCTTAGTTATGAAATACTCCATATAATCCTTTTCCACATACAAATATTTTTACTTGGCTATTATATTGAATCCAAACTTATAACTTATATAATAGATACTAAAAAGCGTTCAATGCTAATTAATGTAAACAAACCCAAAAAGAAAAAAATCCAAAAATAATTATTGTTCTCAATGTATTATAATTTACTCAATAACTTCAAACCCTCTAATAAAAAAATTTAAAAAAAAAATACTCAAAGTGACATCATCTAGAGCTACACTCAAGTCACACACTAGTTTTTATGGATAAAAGGAATGATTTCCTTATAATTTGCTTAAATAAAAAATAATTCCCTTTTTGCATTGGTTTAAAAACTTTTTCTCCAAATATTGTCCATTTAGGCTCGATATTAATTTTTCAAAAAAATTTAAAAATCTTTAATCTGTAAAACCCCTAACGACAATAACGATTAAAGTGCAAATATGCCAAAGTCAAATGTGCAAATGTGGTAAAGTAATGTCCACTTATTTCACAATAGAACCGCAAAATGTAATGGTGGTTCTTAACTAAAACCGTTAATGATGATTGTGGTTCTATGTTAAGGACCGTTTTGGCGTTAGCAGTTCTTCATTGAACCAAAATTTTAATAAAAAAAAAATCATATCTGATCCTACATTTTTTAAACCAATGCAAAGAGGGAATTATTTTTTGTTTAAGCAATTTCTAAGGAAATCATTAGGATAAAAGTAAAAAAAATAAATAAAACAGTTGCAACTAAATTGTTAGTGGAACTTTATTATATTAAGTAGTTAAATTGTTTTAAAATTAAGCAAGGTTTGAGAGTGAAGGATAGCTCAATGGTTAGAGCTTCACTTTCAGTTCCAAGTTATCTTGGGATCCATTCTCATCACTCGCCCTTGTGACTCTCTAAACGCCAATAAAAAAAATAAAAAAATATAAAAAAAAAATTAATTCATTAATCTCACCATTTTTCTCCCTCGTCAACTCTCAAAGATTAAAAAATTAATTTTTTCCCAATGGAGTAAACAAAGGGAGACAGAGGGAGTACTCGAGTCCATTTTGATTCAGGACTATCTTAGAAGCAAAATTGGTAACAAATGTAAAATTTGGCCCAAAGGGAGTACTCGAGTCCATTTTGTAAGGGTTTTTGTAAAAAAAAAAAAAAAAAAGAGTACTCTTAATAGTAAAACAAAAACTTCATTTTTGTACTATTACTACTCAATTTACTATTACAGATAGTGAGGAATAGCTCAAGTAGTTAGAGCTCCCTCCCAGAGGTGATTCTAGGATCAATTCTCATCTCCGCCCTTGTGGCTCTCTAAAAAAAAAAAATTACTATTACACATAAAGCATTAATATCTCTATCTAAATATTAATAACTTGAAAGTATTCACGCTATAAATTCCCCAACAAACCCTACTTACACAAAATTATACAACTCTTTAAACTTTGTATCAACCTAACCGATTCACGTACTATAAATAAATAAAAATAAAAAATAAGGAGGTATAACCTAAAGTTTGTAAGAAGAATTCATTAAATAGGCCCCTAAAAATAACGAACAAAGAAATTATTTAAATTTATGTGATCCAACTCGTGAGTCAAATAGTAGTTGATAACAAGGAAGATTAAAAGAAACATAAACCCCTTCATTAGGTAAAAACTAGAATTAACTTATATGCTGAATCTGTAGTGCTATTTCAGAACACTCAGCTCACTGGACATGCACCACAAGCAACTCATTCATGCATGGAGACTATAGAAGCTTCACCTAAAATCCAGTAGCCTTTGGTCAGGGGAAACATACTCGTATTACTCAACCCAACTTGATCTGATCCGCACAGCACTAAGCATGTTCCTGCAGAGTTTGCAATCCTCCTTACCCCTCTTCTTGAGCGTTTCGCGTGGTTTCTCTACTGACTAGCAGCATGGCCAGTCTTCCTTTCCGTACACATACCCAAAACAAATCCATATTGCTCCATGAGTTCATACAACTATACGCACTTCATGTAGAAAAAAATCCTCCTCTCCCTCCTGTTCCGATTCAACAAGTTGAGAGGACACTTGGGTGACTCCATGGAGAAACAACATCAGAGGTTCATAGCGGGTTTAGAATTCAATACCAGTCTTCTCATCAAATCTTCATCCTTAAAGCCTTATCATGTGTATTTGAGCCTTATGTTCATCATGTATAGTCAACATGTACCTCTTAGGGTATTCAGATGCTATGTGCCCTAAACCATGACACTTGCAGCACTGTTTGCTTTTGTTGTAAGTTGAAGAGCCAGAAACCACGTATTCTTTAGCGTTCTAACCAAAGTTACGTGGTACGAGGTTCGATTGGAAACGTGGTACGGAAAACCGATACGTGAAACATTATTCTTTGTGAATCCGGAACGATTGGGTACGAAATAAATAATTGATATTATATTATTAAGTAATTTTTTTATTAACCAATTGTTATAAATTGAACTGCGCGAACAAAAACAGAAAAACAATGTTACCGAAAATAAGACTGAGTCGCGGACTATGTCGCTTTCTTTAGAACATTCCCGGCACTGCCTTGTAAACGTGCAAGCAGTTCGTACAAAACCGGATGTTCCCCAGGATAAAACAGTTTTTCTAAATTGTGTAATATACCGGTGAAACTGCACTGTATCACCGGGCAACTGAGCACCAAAAGGAAAAACGAAACTGCTCGAGGGTATTTGTGAGGGAGAATAAAACGAGAGGAATGTTTTCTGTGTTACTTTTCTGTATTTTAAACCAGGGAAACAAGAGGCCTTTTATAGGCAAATTGCAACGTAACTGTTGCTAACAATTAGGCACTAATCACGCCTGTTTTTAAAACAGTTTTGCAAAACTGAAGGAATTTGAACGTTTCAAAAACGGTTACAACAAAATTAGTGCGTGGCAAAGAACCAGTCAAGATGGTTGCATGATCAATGCTCCATTAATCAGTTTTGAAAACGGTAAAAAATAATCAGTCAAAACGTTTAGCAAAAATCAAGGAACTAATCACGCAATTAGTCTTGTCCAAAAAATAAGATTATTTGATAAACCCGACCCAGCCCAGCCCGGCTCGGCGCGCGTGTGTGAAAGATGATCTACCATATAGGTCCTCCCTCTCCACAAAATGTGGGTAGCCCAAGGGCCACACCCCTTTAGTTCACTCTCTATATTATAAAGAGAGTAAAACATTCATTTCCAACACCAAAGCATTAATAATAAACCCTAGCCGCCATACTACATAAAAATTGACTAAATACTACTTTCTCCGTCGCATAATATAATTTTTATTTTTCTATTTTGGAGATTCAAAATGTTGTTTCTCTTTTTATTTTTGAATAGTATGTAAAGACCATTATACCCTCATTTTTTTTAACTTTATTTATTGTACTTCTTAAATTACCCTTGAATTTTGCACATGCTTTGAACTTTTTTCAACTTTCTCTCTCTAACTTTTATCTATAATTGTACTTTTTACTTATTAATGTACTTATTCCCCTTTCTTCTCATATTTCTTAAATACCATGATAAAACACAAATAGAAACTATATTGTGGGATGGAGAGAGTAGATAATAAAAAAAAAGACCGATCATCTTCAACCTTCATCTTCTCTGTGAAAAAAAAAATTAAAAACCTTCCATTCTCTACCATAATCTTCATATATCAACAAATTTTTAATCTAAAATCGCATAAATATGAAACTAAATCCTTACATACACATATCTACGGAAGAACAGTTCAGCTTTCAAGCTATGAAATCGGTTCACGGACTCCAGCGACCTGAGTCGCGTCTGTACTGTGTTCCGGTACGAACAAACCAGGTTGCGGTTCGGGCCAACATCCCGCGAACCTTGTAACACTGGTTCTAACATTCTTGCTCTCAGATGCACCCCACAAATTCACATCTGACCCACGCATCCAACATTTAACCAGGTTGCGGTTCGGGCCAACATCCCGCAAACCTTGTAACACTGGTTCTAACATTCTTGCTCTCAGATACACCCCACAAATTCACATCTGACCCACGCATCCAACATTTAACCCACCTTTAGCTTTTCACGCCTAATAGAGGATCTAAACATGTACTCAAAAAGTCAGAAGATCCATTGTGCTAGAGCTCAACCTTTCTAGCAAGATCTGTGTTCAGCAATCACCACAAAAGTTCACTTTTCTCTTCAGGCCTTTCATCATTTCATGGACATATCATTAATCAAATTCAGAGATGTAATCCTCAACTGACAATTGCATAAAAAATGGAGGTTAAAAAAACTGATCTTGAAATAGCCTCTTGGCAAAAGAGCCAAGTTTGAGCTTTCCATACCTCCTGTCCTGCTCCCTTTACATTGTAAAGCCAATTTTATGCATACCGGATTAGTTTCAGAAGCAATTTCAGCCATTAAAGCCCGTGTAATTAGAACTCAAGTACTTCTCAGGGCCAAAGCTGCCTTCAAACTCTAAAATAACAAGCTTCCACCCTTTATTATCATCATGCAATCAACCTAAATTAAAAAAGAAGAAAATAAGTCAATTTACTCTAATAATACAGTAAATAAAACAGCAAAAGAAACTAATGAACTAAGAACAAGGTTCCCTAGAGCTCGCTAAGATTCTTTATAGTATTTCAATTCCTAAATCACCAAGGAGGTAAAGACATGGTAGCTTGGCCTTACAATTAAGGCCAAAGAAGCTATCAATATAATGGTTTTTTGCCTTTCATTCTCATTAATCTAGAAATAGTATGTACATAAGCTAATTTTTATAGCTAACAATACAGTAAAAAATGAATCATGCTAGGATTAGAAATACTAGTCCTTATCAATCATTTTTTATCCTAAAGTAACCTAGTAAATTTAAACAATGCGCTTAAGTCCTTTGCCCAGCCACAGATAAATGAAGAAATGAATAAACTATCCTAATGAAGTTTCTTATAGCGCTTCCCTTAACCAAAAATTTTAAAAAAAATAAAAACAAAAAAGCAAAAAAAATTCTAAATAATTGAAAATTGTAGCACTAATTCAGAGCATCTAGCTCACTTGCACTGTTCCCAAATGTGTACCACAAGCTGGCACAAACAACTCGTTTATTATCGATTTCAATAAAGAGGACTTGGGGACTATTAACATCAAAGTCAGCCAGATTTGAATTTATTAAAACCAATTTTCAACCTGACATATTATGAGCTTTAGCCAAGGTTCAGTAATCAAGTGATCACAAATAATAACAACTAGATTTGAGACTACTAAAACCAATTTTAACCTGACATACTACGAGCTTTAGCCAAGGTTCAGTAATCAAGTACAAAAAAACCACATATAAATCTATAATATCAACACGACGTCGTTAAAAGATACTATATATTCATAAATAACTCTGCCTGCAGAGGTTACAATTTGAAGATATTCACTTCTGTACTAGCTAGCAAGTTTCCAACTTTATCCTCAATTGTTTAACAGACACACACCACTTTGCAAACTCAAAGCTTCAGCTGGCAAGATCATGAATAGTCATTGAAATTCAATTCCTAACTAGCTGACAAGTTTTTAACCACATCCCTAAGACCTTGATAAAACCTACAATGAAACCATAGAATGCTCATGCTACAGAAAAATCACATAATGTGACCATAGCATGTGTGTGTGGTTTTTTTTTTTTTTTTTTTGAACAGTCGAACAACAATTAAATTCAGAATTCACCTATCAGTATAATGAGTTGTCAAAGAAATTTCCTTCCCAAGTAAAGTCCATAATACTACAAGATTAACATATGTTTCTAAGTGTCACATCCAATGTTGCCTGTAATCTACCTTAACTATGATGAGAGAATAATCAAAACTAGATAGTATTCCTACATTACAATAAAGGATACATCACATGACAAGACATTTTCGCAAGATTTGGGGAGCAATGTAATAAATTGTACGTGTTTATTAGTAAACATTGTCACCTTTGGTCAGAAATCCCAAACCTTTGCTAGGTCTCATTCTGAAACATGATAAAAATCCAATTGGTATTGGAACTTAAGTCTTCTAGTACGACAACAAATAAATCAATGAATAATGTTTAAATGAAACGTCTGAATACTTAATCAATTATAATGGCAATCATGAAATGGATCCAAATTGTCCTTGTAACGAATTGATATTTAGAGCTTTAATTCTAAAAAATTGATGCCAAAGCATTGATTGGATTACATAAATTATTATCAATTAATTTCTATGGTACTCGGACTCTTCAATCACCTCAAGTATTCGTGTTGATCCCTCGACACTCGGACATGAATATAATACTTGGACACTTCATTTTAGTTCAAAATAATAAAAAAAAAATTCACAAAATAGCCGAGTTGAACACTTAGACACGTACCCGTGTCGGACATGGGTACCCGAATCCGAGTAATATAGATGAATTTTGTTACCAACAAGGAAGTTAGACATTGAGAGATTTGATAGCTCTGTGAATTATGGTTTATGGAAGTTTAATAAACGATTACGAAGATTTTGATTGGAGAAAAGAAAAATCCATATCATAGTTTTCTTTATGTTTATCAGACATGTTTCTCCATGAAGTTGTAAAAGATCAATTATAGCAAATAATGTCGAAAGTTTGAGCAACTTTGCAAGACTAGAAGGGTGACCACTTCTTTTGAAAAATCAGAGTCATGGATTTTCAACTTAGGGGAAGGCAATTCAATCTCACTTTGATGAGTTTTTATACGGATCTGCAAGATATGGATGATAAAGATTTGGCTATTACTTTTGCATCCTCCACGTTTGAAAATTTTGATATTGGAGTTATATTAAAGAAAAACAATGTAGCTAGTAGATTTATCATAGCAGGACCATTCAATTACACATACTAAAGGTGGCACTCAAGTATGTAAATTTACCCCTTTATGATCTCGATATAAGGAATAAATTTATTTCTCTAGTTATACTACACTCTAATGGTAGCATATTCTCTGTTAAAGTTGGCATTCTTGAGGTGACCAAAGGTTGCTTTTAAAATTATAAAAGCTTGGAAGATTTTAAGTATTTGTAATTTTACCAGGATGTACTTGATTTGATCACCCAACTCGGTACTAAATTTCATTGATGGGTACAGTTTTGTGCAAGAGAAGGCTTGGGGACACAGGAAGCAAGGGAATTTTTTCAATTCTGTAATCTTGATTTTTATGGCATCAGATCTGTTGTGGATGAATTTTCATAAAAAAATCCAATCCGTCATATCAAACTATTACCACTTGTACCTCTCATGTTTATATAGACAAGCATTTTCAAGTGTTTTATTTTCAATAGCCTCAAACATGGATGAGGAAGCATACATGAAACCTTTCAGATCTTAAGACTACAGCCTTCACAGGAGGCATAAAAAGAATTCAGGGGTTTTCCTTAGTTTTCCACTCACCATGATATTTGGAAGCCTGAGTAATAACATTTCTCTTGTAATATTTTTTACTGATTTTCTTAGAACATTCAGAATAATTAGAGAAAAAATATGACCTGCACCAGCTCCTCCACAGCTTTCCATACAGCAGTATCATCAAATCTCTCTCCATATGGGCTTCTTTATTACATTTCAGTTGTCTAGTAAAGGTGACATGAGACAATAAACAAACTCATATGCAACATATAACTTTCTCCACGCTACTTATAAGTTTTTCTCAGAATCTGTTGTTGTTTTGATGATATGATTGTTTTTCATAGAAGGTGATGCACTAATTCATACTTTTAGATTAATACACTCAAATAGATTATGAAATATGGGAACATTAGGATTTCTCAAAAAAGTTACAGGAAAAAAATATCCAAAGGTTTTAAATTATAATTATGAATTCATCCGTAAAGCCAATAGATAATGACAGCCAAATAGATTATGGTTGCATGGGAAGAAGAATCAGAAGAACCATCCCAAATTAGAAGGTTACAGATAATAGTGAACCCAGGTCCCAGCTCCAAACTCTATCCTGGAGTTCCCACATATTTGACAATTTTACAATACCCAAACAACAAATTTGAGGAGCGCAGAAGAAATCGTACTAGATGATAAACATACCTGACAGGGCTGGCACTAAAGCGAGCATTAGCTGGAGGTGCAAACAGAAATTAGATTAAGGCAACCCTTAGTGAACGTCAGTACTCAATTCACATACTCTGGAATATTTAACCAGAATAACCTCAGTAATGTTACCCTCCCAGATTATCTACACCAAATTCACAAGTTTAACAAGCCTGTCTTCACCTTTCATTCATGGCATAGCTATAATTCACCAAGAGCTATCTTTTTATCGCAAAAGACTATTTTGATTGAAGCAATGACAGACGTAGAACTACTGGTGACATAGTAGATCATCTGATATAACTTGGTTCATAAATCATAATTACACAGAGGATCCTTTGAATCTTTGCTGCTTATTTGAGCTTTTGGCACCTCGACTTCTCCTTCCCCCTCCCCTCTCTGGTCTGACACAGGATGTATATGGTGATTTTGATTCATTAGCAGGGTTCATAAATTTTATAGACCCAACTTTCCTATGATGACTACCTTCTTCTGGTCCTTGTAACAATTTTTGGAGTGTCGGATCATCTACAAAGCCATTTGAAAGCATCTCAGTATGCAATTCCTTAGCCTTCATCAAACAGCCACAATTTGCCAAGCCATGCACAACAGACTGGTAGTGTCCTGATTCAGGATCTACTCCAAAGTGTCTCATTTCAACCCACACCTTCAATACATTTCCGGGTTCTCTTAATTTAAAAAACCTATCAAAAATTAGTAGAAATGTACAATTGTCTGGACCAACTTTATCGTTTTTCATCTGACTCAGAATTTTAAAAGTGCTTTCCAAATCAGCATCTTTCAAGAATGCTTGATATGTCTCAATAGTTGGTTGGACATGCTCTTGTGTCATAATGGACAGCAGAAATTTTGCCTCCTTGAATTTCCCAGCTTCACATAGAGGACAAATCAAGCAATTGTATGACCTAGAATCTGGTTTTAAACCCATCTCTTTGATTTTCTCAAGAATTTTAAGAGCTTCACTCAAACAGTTTTCATGAGCCATAACATAAATCAGTGAATTATAGACATCAAGGCCAGGGATCCAGCCCCTTTTCTTCATCTCATCATAGAGTCTCAGAGAATCAAAAAGGTTTCCGACCTTCGAGAAGCAGGAAATCAAGTGCGTGTAAGACATTGCATCAGGTGTAACACAGCAGCTTGCCATCTCCCTCCAGACTCTCTTTGCTTCAACAACATCAACAATAATATTGCACCAACCATGAAGAATGATATTAAAGCCCTCGGTCTCAAGTGGAAATAGCTTCTTATTTTTTAGCATGAATTCCTCAGCCTCTTCAATATTGCCATATCTGCATAGGGCACTAATGACAGTATATAATGCATTCTGATCTGGATGCAGTGTCAATTTCTCCATGAATTGAAATGTTTTAATGGCCTTCTCATGATTATTTGCTGCTGCATATCTGAAAAGCAGCAATTTAATATGATATATCTATCAAGCTCAAGACTTGGTATAATTACAGATAAATTAGATATTGAAGGGTGGTGTAGGCAGGTACAATTTGTGTATATCAATAATCAGATTCAACTTCTAAAAGGTACAACTAGACCAAGCACAGAGGCAACTAGGCAAACACTATGGTTGACAGGCAGATACATTAATTAGTTTCAATTACTGAAGAGAAGTAGCATGACTAGTATCATGTAGGATTCTTTAAGTGTTCGCCATCTTTTTCAAAGATATCTTTTCACAGAATCACAGGTAGACTTTTTATGATAAAAAAGCATCATATATTGAATTTTGTAGTTGCTAAAATTTAACACTAAACAATTAGATTTTTGTGTCATCTATAAAATTTGACATTCTTTATCAAATGGATTGTTTCTTTTGTTAAAATTTTAATAACGCATCAAATAATCAAGTCTTGATATCATTAATTAAACATTGTTCCTATTAATTGAATTCAAAGTCAGCTTCCATCACTAACCCTAGGCACTTTCGGGTGTCAACATACTGTGTAAGAACCATACCCACTTGCAAACCCATAAACATTCTGCAGAACTAACAACAAAAGCACCTCAATTGGATTTGGAAGGCATCAGCCAACCATTTTTACTTCAAACCAAATTGCACTAATTTGACCACCAGAGGAGCAGGGTACTTGTTACTAAACAAAAATTAACGCAATTTTCATATAGGAGCTGGCGAAAGAAGAAAATTGTACGAAAAACACCTAAAAAAAATAAATTAAAATAAAAATAAATTAAAAATAATAATAATAACAATAATAATAACAATAACAATGACAACAACAATAACAATAACAATAAAAATAACAATAATAATAATAATAACTCCTGGAAAATCTACTAGTCATCGCCTTGAGTCTGCCCTTTCTAGTTAGATTTATCCGTCCCAGCAAGGTGAGGCTTTCTTGTCTTTGTATTGGTATTTCGTTAATAGGCCCTTTTTGAAACCTTTTATGGCTGGGGGCTATGATTGAGACCTAATGTATCTCACCGGCGTGAAAGTCAAGATAAGGCGAACTTCCATTTAATAATAATAATAAAGGAAAAACTTTGCAGCATCATATGGTCTTTAAGACCTCTAAGACCTATCAGTCACAATCTCTTATACACAGCTTTTGACAGGCAATTATGAGTTCAAACCATTCAATCTTAAAGTCCTCTTTGCAATCAAGAATCAACTCATGTCATTGTGCATATGACCAAAATCTTAGATAAGTATATGCTTACATATCAAGTTATCAGCGCTAATAGCAACATAATCCTATAATCCAATCACATATTTTGACTTAATCAATCTCTTGATCTCATCCCTTACATAATTTCCTCATAAAGTAATAATATTAGAACCCTAATGGCATAAGATTGAAAGGAAACATAACTGTCCTTGATACGAGTAAACCTCGTATTCCCAATAGTTCTCTTACATGGTATTTACATATTTGAATAAAGCACATTAGGCTGCAAACAGGAAAAGAAAAACAAATAAGCCAGAATTCAACAATTTGCACAGCATAATGGGTTCTGCTATCATAAAAACGAAGCATTTGCTTATTGCTGAACATAAACATAATCACAAAACATATTGGCTCTAAACTTAAACATGTATTCTCAAAACTAGCTACTAGCAGAGAAATGGACAAAACAAGACCAATTAAACTCAAATTGGCTACTAACATGTATTGGCTTTTGGATGTCATCATATTGGCTCTAGTTTTGTTACTATCATGTTTTGTTGCATGTTAAACTCACCTCTCTATGATAGCAAGCATTGCTTGTCGAGTATCCGCCGACCCGTGCAAATCACGAATCAAAGACCAAGCAATATCAAACTTCTGATGAGTACCCAATACCCAAACTATCAAACCCAATGATTTCTCATTTTCAAAACCCCATTTTAAGTTCAATTCAAATGCCAATAAAGCCAACTTCCAATCATTCCTCAATTCCCAGATAGCTATATAAACCTGGTTGGCATCAAGATTAATACTAGAACCAGCAACAAAATCAATGGCTTCCTTCCTAGAAGTAAAATCCTTGGTTTTCTGCACTAATTCTACTAATTCAACAACACCCAGTTCATCTTTCTGATTGTTTTCGGTTACTATTGCATTGAAATCAATAGGGTTGTATATAGATTGCATTAAAGATGGTTGTAATGTTGAGGAATACAGTGAATGTTGTTTGTGTAAGGGAGTATGAAAGTGCATTGAAAGTGTTCGACGAAATGTCTGAGAGAAGATGTTGACATACCCATTTGAAGAAGAGGGGTTGCGAACAAGTGTTGATAGCAAATAACGAAACTGAATTTGATGGGAAATCAGCTGCCTTTTAGCTAATACAAAGATTGCCATGATATAAGGATCAACCTAACAAAGTATAACAGTTTAATAAGAGTTCAAGTGTTAATAAATTGCCATTTTGGGGTGGAGCTCTGGAGCTGGCTCTCATATACTTCGCGCGGACCAAACTATTGATCTTAGGGAGGTTCACTTAGAGGTGAGCAAAAATTCTGGTTACCTGGAATTGGAACCGGAACCGGTTAGAAACCAGCGGATCCGGAATTGAAATTAGACCCGGTGGTTCTAATTTTGGGTAATAAATTAAGGATCCAGTTGTAACCGATTTCAATTTCAATTCTCAATTTTTTTGGAACCGGAATCGGTTGGGTACCCGATTTACCAACATATATTGAACTAAATATATTTTTAAAAACCAAAAATATGTTAAATGTATCTATTTAGTAAAATAAAAATAAATAATATTAATATCTAACATAAATAAATAGCTTAATGCATATAAAAATATAAGTATTAAATGCTAAAAATGAAAATAAACCAAAAAAATATTATAAATTGTATTTTATATTAGCATGTATATAATTAGGTACCCGGAACTGGAATCGATACCCGGTAGATCCAATTCCAATTCTTAAATTTTAGGACCCGGTTGTACCGGTTCCAATTCCGATTCTAAATTTTAGGACCCGGTCCCAACCAATTCCGGGTCCGGTCCTAAAATTTTAACCGGGTACCCGATTTGCTCACCCCTAGTTTCACTGGTCCAAGACCGGACCAAATCGGACTGGATCGAAGATCAGAATTTTAAAATTCAAGAATTAATGGTAATACGGACTGGTTTTGCTCAGATCGGATTGGTAAAACTGTAAAACTAGTCCAAAACCTGGACTGGACTAGTAGGACCGATTTTCGATTCTTTTTTAATTAAGCTAATTAGTTGTTAATTATAAAAATATTATCATGTTAGGAAAACTTATCAAAAGTAATGCTATTGGGAGAATTCGCAATGAGAATTCTCAAATAAAAGAAGTTGTTCTTTTTTTTTTTTTTTTTTTTCTGTGCGTGCCTTTTTTTTTTTTTTGTCTACAAACGCGTGTTTACTATTTTACCCCCTATAAAAATCCAAGTGAACTCAAGCTATTAGAGTCTTAGAATCCCAAAAAAAAAAAAAAGGCCGCTTTTGGGAAGTGAGGCATAGGGGTGTACATAAAATACGAACCGGACCAGACCCGAACCTGAAGATTCAGTCCATTACCGGTCGCGTAAACCGGTCCAATTCGGTTCAGGTCCGGTCCGGTCCAGATCTGGACCAGTGTTCACTTCTAGCTAGTGCTATACATAAAATACCCGGACCGGAAGATTCAGGTCCATTGCCGGTCCGCGTAAACCGGCCCAATACGGTTCAGGTCCTACCCGGTTCCGGTCCGGAATTGGACCGGTGTTCACCCCTAGTGAGGCACATAAAAAAATCAAATGGAGTAACTTTTAGGGGATGTTTGGTATCAACTTAGTAAAGGTAACGGAATGCAAACAAATTAGGAGGGGAAAGGGTAATATATAGTGTTACCCTTATTAGTTGTTTGGTATTACTAAGGAAACACAAACGATTACAACCAATTCGTTTCCTCTTGTTTGGCATAAAAAATGGAAAACAAAATTAAAATATTTGTGGGCGACATTAATCACTATTCACAAGCTGCTTTGTTGCTTCAACTTACTCAAAATTCTTTTCTCTTTTTTCTTACTCCAATTTAATTACTCTAATTCAATAATCAAAATCATCAAATCATCAAAAAATCAGATGACTAGATCACTTTTTTCTTTTATTGATCATAAAAACACAACTACACCAGATTTAAATCAGCAAACCATCAAAAGTCAAAATTATCAACATCAAATCTGATCATCGCAAAGGCAGGTCAATCTTCATCATCGATCATCATGAAAGCTCATTCATTTTTTTCTTTTCTTTTTTATTTTTTTTAATTTTTGGTGGGTGAGATGTGAGAATGATGAGTTGTTGTTGAGTGATTTTATTTGACCCAATTATGAGAAACCGAATTCGAAAGAGAGAGATTGGGTGATTAAGAGCTTTGGAAGATAGAGTCAATGAGAGATGTTAACATTGTTGAATGGAGGAAACGGAATTTGTTTCCTTGGGTCAAAGAGCGGAATCAAATTGGGGGGAACTGTTACACCCAGGTAACGGTATTCGTTACTCTCTGGTCTTTACCAAACAAGCAGTAACGGAATGGGTTATTTGAATCCGTTTTCATGCCTTAAAAAATCCATACCAAACGCCCTCTTAAAGTATATTAATATTTAATTTGTTAGCCTTTAACTATACGTAATAATATCTATTTTCACTTTTGCCCATATATTTCCTCGTACAATAAGTCTTGTGTAAGGCGGGTGTATGTTAATTTTATTGTAAGACGATCAGTTTGATGGTAACTTTAACTATTTTTATGGTAACTTTAACCACTTAAGGGTAACTTTAATTTGTCGTTGGTTTGAATTTTGTTTTAATGTGTAATTTTTTATAGATTCATGATTACATACTATAAAGGCTAACATGATTAATCTAATACATTTTAAGTGTTTTGTATGAAATTTATTATTAGAACAATAATAACTTTTGTAGTATACATGGTAACTTTAAATAGTTTTATAATAACTTTAACCTATCTTAAATAAATTAACGTACACCCGCCTTTTTGGGAGAATTTGTGTTCCTCGTAAGTAAAATTCTCCCAAATTTTCTTACACATTTTCGTAGCATTTATTTGCTTTCTGGGTTTCGTCCCCATAGCTACTTGTCCTACGAAGAAGACAACTACTGTATTTCCAAACATTCAAAAATTATAAATGTTGTGAGTTGATTTTGAAAGGAATAATTCAATGAGAGTCGAAGCAAGTATGAAAAGCCAATTGCCTAAAAACACAAAAGAGAAGAAGGTATGTTCCATCCTATATTTAGAAAAAGGGTAGATAAAGTTGACTTACGAGTCATGACCAAGGGAATTGACTTTACTTAGCCATAAACTCCATATATCAAGTCAATCAACTTTATTACACCATTCTTCTCCAATATTTCATGGTTGCACCTTTGCACCTATGCATGGGCAAGAAATTAAGTGATTCAAGTTTCATCCAAGGAGGATAAGATTACTTTTCAAAAGTCCTTTACATTATCGGATAATTACTACGCTTCCAACATCATAAAAGTTAGGATTATAAATCATTTCTATATGTAACAACTAATCTTTTTCTAAACATCACAAAATCACACCGAGTACCAAGTACTCCAAACTTTACGTCTTTACTCTTTACATGGAGTATTCTAAGCAAAAGAAACAGTTTTCCAAGTCAACAATTTAGGAATCAATACAGTCAAGATCCAAGACAAGCAGATATTACATCTGACAAAATTTGCTTCTCAACATAACAAGTCAACATTACTAACTTCAAAGTGATGCCAATCTTGGCTAGAATAGATACCACATTGACACATTGTATCCTCTACAATTTACACTAATACCTAGGATATCTGCATGATTCAAATCTAAACAGCCCTCCTCTGCATCTTGAATCTGGATAACGGCTTTGAAGGCTGAGGATTAGGTAGCTGCATTATATAAACATAACTTCTTATTAAATGAATGAAAAATAAAACGTGATGATTAGACCAAAGGAAGACAGTTACCTGATCAATAGTTTCTTTATCTGGAGAAATTTGCAAATCATCTGTCCGCTCTATGATAGAGCCAGTGAAGGCCTGCAGTGAATGAAAGATCAGTACATGGCAACAAGGAGAGATGAACTATAGGGGATTAGGGGGAGACTGTCAAAAGACATACCTTGAGACTATCTGTATTGGGTCTAGAGTCTCTAGACAATCGATTGCTAGCATCTGGTTTAGGCGTTGGAACACATATCTGAAGGTAAAATAGGAAGGGATGGGATCAGTTATCATATAGAGAAATCTATATTACTGCAGTTTATCTAGTTTATATAAAGAAATTTATATCTGACAGCCAGAATTCTAGGTTTACATTACTGCAGTTTATCTAGGTTTATATAGAGAAATCTATATTACTGCAGTTTATCTATATTACTGGAGTTTATATAGAGAAATCTAAGCAATGGGTTTGAAATAACAGCATGTACCATATTACTGTTCTAGTGCTATAACCAAGCAATGTTTAGCAGTTTAACTAGGTTATAATCGCAAAGCAAGAGACTTTAGTCTAGTTATGGAAAATACTTCCAATTACCTAATCAGCATGTCCACTTAAGACCTACTTCATATAATTTGAGCCTGAAATAGTGAAAATGAAAAGGCACAACAATCATCACGCAACCAAGCACAGGAAATTGACAGCCACCAACCATCCAATTACAGGAAAATACAACAGATGGATCAGCAAGCTAAACATGAGCAGCTAGTGCTATTACATTTTTATGGAGCTAGTCACTAGAGCCTCTACCTTGGACAAACACACTTTTTCCTAGGCACACTCAGCCTTCCCAAATCCAACTTGAGGTACATAGTATCTTCTCTGCATTCATCTAATCTCTTTACATGCCCTCTTTTTAACCAAAGTAGAACTAAATCTTAAAATTTAGACCTACTTTCAACAATCACATTTAGGGGTTGTTTGTTTTAAGCTAGGTCAATTGAAAACAGTGCAAGAAATGGGAATAACATGCAAATGAAAATGCACATACAAGTACCCTTAAATTATATACAATATATTATGTGCGAAGATAAGAAATGAATACCCCGCAAGCCCATCCTCGCATCTGTCGCCCCTTTCTCACCCAACAAAGAAAATATTATGCGCTAAGATAAGGAATGAATACCCCGCAAGCCCATCCCTGCATCTGTCGCCTCTTTCTCACCCAACAAAGAAAAACCCTTACCTCTCAGTCTCTCACTGAAACAGTGAGTCTTACAATGCCTCACTATTCCTTTGAACTCCCTTGCCAATCATATTGAGTCCCTTTATCACACATCAGCACCACCACTTCATCTCCCTCTGTCCACAACCAGGACAACACTGGCAACACATAATCCTCACTCTCCTCGCTGAAACCTAGTCACCCATTGCAGCTTCCTCTCTATCCAACCACTCAACATGACCACCATACATAGGTGACCCAATACAAATATACAACCACAAAGGATCATAATGCCATTACTATCAACAAAGACAAGAGCGAGGAGACGAGAAAAAAGACAAGCTCGAAGAACTTCTTTTTCCTTTTGTTTTAATTAACTAGTTATGGACGTATGGTATTAATTTTCAGGCCTTGTCACAACAAATCTGGAGCCATCACTACTGCTCCAATGTCAAAAGGTAATTATGGTGATATTAGCAATGCCTTGCTAATTGACTATATTGGTGAATCCCCAAATTCTTGTGGCTGGGGAAAAAAAGAGAAGTGATGAAGACTGGGGACACTGGTCAAAGGCTCAAAGCAACTGAAAGGGTGGAAGTCTGAGTGAAGTGCTGGAAGTTCCCCGAGACAGCTACATGTGTGGGGAATTCCAAACACTAGCAAGACAATGTGCAAAGAGGACGGAGTCAAGGAAAGAGGAAGCTTGTAGATTTCAATCAACTAGAAGCAATAGACAAATTTCGACCAATACCTAACAGAAATTTAAGAGGCCTCATATTCTTTCTCCAGTGACATTTATTTTAGTCAGACTGCAGCCTGGTTACTTTACTGGATGGATGCAAGCAACAGTCCTAATTGGAAGCTGCTTCAACTATTCACAAAATTCTGAGGAAACTAATTTCCTTATCATTCTTTTGCAGGGAGAGTATTTAGAGTTTGAGAACTAAGACTACATATGTAGTAGATTTCAATATGGAGTAAATTTTTTTGAGGTCACTCTTAAAAGCATGTATTTTACCTGGGAACTAGTGGGACACCTCTGAACTTTTGCACATTTCATGTGATCCCTTTCATAGTTTCACATCTTACTTTGTGCACACTATATCCTTGAACTTTTGAATAACGCACAATGTATGCAACAACATAACTTTTTCTTTATGTTTATTTTGTGAACAATATTTGCTCGTCCCTTTTTGGACGATTCCATATGATGATTCATGTTAGCTGACCTCAAATCATTTTGGACTAAGGCTTTGTTGTAGTTGTGACTTGTGAACAATGTTGAAGTGAGAAAAGAGTTCTACCTAGTCAATTATTTGGACACATTTAGTTACAAGTTTTTCAGAACTAACAAATACTTATAAATACAGTTAAATACGTTAAAAAAACTATGAACTCTCCAGCCGTGTAAACATTATTTGAAGGAAAACATTGACATTGTGTTTCAAATACATTGTGCATAACATAGATGTTAATTAGGAATAAACTGTGCATAAAATCAGATGTGGAAGGCATCACCTGATTTTTCAAAGTACAAGATAGCCCATAATTTTTCCCAAAAAATCCAGTAAATATGATACACAGCAGAAAGATGTGTATTGGGCATAAAGAAAAAGCCATGTATACCTCAGATTTTGACTTGGACTCAAATGGAATACTTGTCTTCATCACAGGAGGGGCATAATCTTCCTCTGTCGATCTTTCAACAAGATTTTGCAGCAAATTTTTGCCACGTGAGGATTCATCTGATCATAATAATAAATGTGAGTATATCAGCATCAATACAATTGACAGAAAGAGATAGGATAGCAAACTAAGCTGAATCAGATACCCCAACCCTGCAACAATGTCCAATCCCAAACACAGACTGCTTGGAAAAATAAGCAGCCTTTAAGGTCTTTCTTTCACAATAGGTCCAGACAATCACACCTGCCAGATCTAGGGCCGGGTTGGGGCCAAGTGCTACTTTGCACTTACATCATACTTCAAAAGTAAACTCTAATGGAGAAAGAAGGTACCTTTATGCGTAGATTGCAAACTCAAACTTTCATGCTGCATGAAAAGGATGCCAAACGACAGATGTAAGCAGCTTGCAGGAAGAGTCAACATGCACAACAAAAAATAGTCTTCCAAGAATGCATATAATAGGAAGTCATAACAAGTCTTACAATTAAGTTATCGGCATCATTTGGTAGAGTATTTCTGTCCGAGAGTACTTTGGCATGATGATGGTCTTTAGATTGCTCCTGGTCCTGATTGGTCAACAGTTTAGATGTAAATAGCTCCGGCTAAATTCTCCAAAATCTATTGCTTTATACAGAAAGTAATTAATACTGATTACTGATTTACCAAGTTATTGAAGTTTTCATCACTTGTAACATCTCCAAGCTCTTCAGTATCTTCTTCATCCTCAAGTTCTTCTTTCTCAAGTTCATCCAACCTAGACATGATACGAGCATATTCTTCATCATCAACTGCCCCAGGTCTACTACGATTACCAACTTCACACACACTAGCAGCCTCTGCCTTTTCTGGGCCTAATATTCCATGCGTATTAAAAGTGAGCAATTCCTTTACTGACAGATTTTTATGCTAATGCAAATCGCAAACCTAGGCTACCAGCATAAGGTAACGGGAGGAACAAGGTAGGTCAAACAGCTCTTAAACAAAAGTCAGTAAATATCTGTTAATATGGGAATCAGCATGCAGCATCCAAAAATCCATCAAAATAAAAATAAAAACAAAAAAAGCACCAATTTCAACTTGCAATACATTAAAATAGAAGTGCTACTCTATTATGTAAAAACATATTCTGGTATACCTTATGATATCTTAGAAATCTTACCAAAATTTGAATAAAATTTGGAGGTGTTTTGTGCAATATCTGGGCTTAAAAACAAATACCTTCATCCTAAGCAAGTTAAAAACTCAAATAATTGATATGATAGGTTTAACCCAACCCCCCCCCCCCCCCTCCTTCTCCTTCAAAAGTACACAGAGGCAGAGACTAAGGACAGATATTAGAAGAAAATCCTTCTGTGTAGTACAATGTCAGGACGTAGTTGGGGCCATGAGGCTAATATGTCCATACTGCCTTTAGTTAGAGCACGTAAATGAGACTCCTCATTAATGAAGGATAAAAAAAAAAATCCTTCAAGCACAAACAGGAAAAAGTAAAAAAAAAAATAAAAAAAAATAAAATCATCCCTTTAACAATGTGTTACTCAGGGCAATCAAAAAATAAATATATTAGCAGATAACCATGGAAAACGTCATAAGACAATGCTTCCATCGAAGAAAATTTCATCGTCAATTTAAGAAAGAAAATTAGCCTGTTTGGACATACTTCCACCAGCATCTTCAACATCACTTAACTCTTCTCTGATCTCCACAAGACCCTCCTGCAATAAGCACAGAAAAGCTGAACTGAGCAGATACAAAAAAAAAAGTTAAAAACACATATAAAGGACAAGTTACATAAAAGCATCTTTCATCCAAAAATTACCTCAGATTCAGCAGCAGTTCTATCAAAAAATGAGGCCTTGGCTTTGAGATCTTCAACCACAGCCTTAACAGATCCAACTTGTGACTCCAATGCCTGCCCTCTTCTTTTAAGAATGTCAACAGTTTGTTTGGCGGTTCTATCCGTGAAATAATTCTCTCCTAGGAGAACCTGATACCCACTCAAACAGGCTTCTCTTAGTTTAACCTTGTGGATGGGAACTCAATTCTTACAAACAAAAAATGCCACACTAGGAGCAAAAGGCACAAGCTTCCTAACTATTGCTATAAACATATAGAGACTATTAAGCTAATATGACAGGTTAGTCATTCCAAATCACATACAATTCACCCATGTGTGAGGTTGACTTTCAACCACTTTGGGGTGGTTAAACACAGTTCTATCCAATACACACGATGAATACAGGTTTTTTCCTATGATGAATTAAGTATAAATTTTGCTCATTCCGAGAGAATAAACAAATTATTAAGTCGCAAAGCTAGACGAACAAAATTGCATTGCATAGATCAGCAATTCATGGACAAACATAAGAAAAAAACTAGATTACAGCTAAATTTCATAAATTTGTAAGCTAAAATGTAAGCTCCTTTGCACAATACACATAATTATTGCAAACCCATTTATAATAAACAGAATTCCAATAAAAAATGTCAACAAACTGAGCTCAATCTTCACCGATTCACATACACCCACAACAAATTAACTAACCATCAACATAATTACTCAATTTCCACAAAACAAATTTAAAAATAAAAGATCTAATTACCAGAAATTCATTAGTATGAACCAAACGACCCGGAAAAAATGCTGCCTTCCCAAATGGAACCTGTAAATTCACCCCAAATAAACAATAATAACTAAGGGCATGTTCTATTCAACTGATATTATAATATAATTCGGGTAAATTCATTCACAGCGAGGATACGGATTAAGTTAAATTGAATAATACACACCCTAAACCCGTACAATATAAAAAGGCTGTAGTACGATAAATTAAGTTGAATAGAACACACCTTAATCCCAAACGAAACCGAAAAGAAAAATACCTGAATATCGTGATGAAGTTCATCGGGAAGGCGTTGTACAAGGTTGATGAGGTTAGTATTGTCAGCGACAAAGCCACGGAGGTTGTCGAGTTCTTTGAGCTTGTCGGAAATCGTGTCGTTGACGAGTTTGGCGGCTTTGTGAGCTTCCTCAGCAGGGAACATTGAAGATAGTGATGTCACAGTTCCTTTCCCACGCGCCGCCATTGTAGTGAAAGAAATGCGATATCCCAAATTTGAGTCTATTTATGAAGTAATGCTTTCAAAACTTTCAAACTAATTTTATCTTGGTGTTTGTGCAGGTTCGCTGCCGGACGATAATCGGTGGTCGCAGCTCTGAGGGAGAATTGGTTTTGAGAGTTGGCGGCTGAGGGAATGATGGTTAAATAGTTAACGAAGGTTGATATTTCATTGAGAAAATATAAATTTATCTGGTACTGTCTTTGTCTAATTTTTCTTTTTTTTTTTCTTTGACTTTTTACGGTACGATGTTTTAAAATGTTTATAACTTCATTTTTTATATATAAAAACTAGATTAATATCCGTGATAAATTGTACTCGTATCATTAAAGGTAATTATAATCAACAATTAGGTAACACTAATCTATATTATTAATAATACATTTTCTGTTTATGAATTGATGCTCTACATGATATCGTCGCTTTTTGTTACTCCCTCCGTCCCTTTTTATTCTTTCCATTTGTAATTTTGACACTATCCATAAGGTATGAAAATCTTCTAAATTATTCTTAATATATAATATAGTCATGTTGGGCCTTATTTGATTCGTTTCAATGAATAAATTATTAATATTCAATTGTTATATTTTTCACTAATAAACAACTAACGATATTTATGGTCAAAGTGTTGCATTGGCAAACGTGTACAGTCCAAATGGCGTGGGAAAAAGATTTGGGGACGAAGGGAGTTGTTTCGGGGTTTTTTATGTGTCCTGCGGGAGAGTTACAACACCTAGACTGACCTCCGGCTGTCTGTACCTGCAAAACAACGAAACTCCCGTGGGAGTTCCGCCTCCGACGATCAAGTTAGAACGTGTGTAAGGAGTATATTGCGGAATGTAAATGTGTTTTTTCGGCTGCCTAAGGCAACCTCAAAATCTGAGTGTTTCACTCTCTGATTTGAGGATTGGAGGAGTATTCATCATGAATTCAATGTGAATTCTATGTGAATGAATCTCTCTCTAAAAATTTTCGTGATCCCCTTGCAACTGATGCAAATGATTTGTATTTATAGAGTTTTTGGGAGAGGAGCTTGATGGGCTTAGGGACACGTGCCGCCTTAGCATTGGCCCATCTGTCAGGGGTATTTTTACCCCTAAACATTAGCCCCTCGAAAGGAGTAGCCTCTCTGTTTCAGAGAGGTTATGCCTTTCGAATATGAGGCTCCTTGAGCCCTTTTAGCCCCACTATGCTGATAGCCCCAGACCAGGCGTCTGTCGACCATCGAGTGGGCAGGCGGTCAGTACCATCCGACCATTGGCCTTAATTTGTTTATGGAGCAATGTACCACCCGAATGGGAGATGCTCTCTTCGACGGTTGCAGCCAAATGCAAGTCGCCGGATTTCTGTCTTTTTGGACAGACAGTTTAAAATAGTTGGGCAAATTATGCGCTTGCCCCTGTAGGGCTTTTCCTTGAAAGTCGGCTACTTTTGGGGCTTCAAGATTTTAGACGCCGTCTGTATTACCTTGGGGTAATAGGCGTCTGTATCTTGAATTCCACGGATCATTCAACTGGTGTTGAGTTATGATCGCTAGAACAATGTGCCACCCGGAAGGGAGATGTTCTCTTCGACGATTGAAGCCAAATTCAAGTCGCCGGATGTCTGCCTTTTTGGACAGACGGTTAATATTAATAAGAGCATCCGGCCATTGGCCTTCGCCTGATCAATCCGGCCATTGGCCTCATTTTGATCATCCGGCCATTGGCCTTCGCTTGATCATTCCGGCCATTGGCCTCAAAATCTAAGTATTACTTAGATGGGCGCCCGGATGCGTATTACGCATGGGACTTATATATAAATTTAATGATCGGATGGGTATCCGGCTGTGCTTTGCACAATTGAAAACGTCGGTCCGAATGTATGTTTCATACAGGGGACTTGGACACAATAGATATAAAACACCGTCTGCTTTTTAATAGCAACCGGCTGCCCGGCTGTGCATTGCACAGACGGGACTTTGCTGTTATTTCCATTATAATTTATGTAAAACAGATTGCCCGGCCGGGACATTGCAAATTATAATGGAAATAAAGCATTTAGCTTCTACCTCAGAAGGCGATTTTGAAAATCAAATAATAAGGATGGTACCTTCTGATGGAGGATTTTCGTTAATATGCTGGACGATATTGAGATGCCTCTTGCTGATTTATGATACCGAGCCCCTGAGGGCGTTAGACGGCCATGGGACGCCGAGCAATTGAGCTTAAGAAACATTTTTGATCCCAGATGATACAAACGGGTTTCCAGGCCAGCTGCTTGCTTGGCACCCAGGCGGCACCCTGAAGCTTTGCTTGATGATACCCCAGACAGCTGATTCATCCGGCAAGGGCTTAACCCAATTTTGCTCGGCTTCAGCCCATATACATACAGTCGGCTTTTATGGGATGCCTTCTGCTAACCGGGCTACACCAGGCGGAAGTCATCCAGGTGCTTGCTAGATACCCAGGCGGCACCCTGAAGCTTTGCTTGATGACACCCCAGATGGAAGTCACTCAGCTGCTTGCTAGGTACCCAGGCGGCACCCTGAAGCTTTGCTTGATGACACCCCAGACGGAAGTCACCCAGCTGCTTGCTAGGTACCCAAGCGGCACCCTGAAGCCTTGCTTGATGATACCCCAGACGGCTGGTTCAGCCGGCAAGGCCCTAACCCAATTTTGCTCGGCTTCAGCTCATATACATACAGCCGGCTTTTATGGGAGCAAGACGCGTGCCACTCATCCGCTTGGTGCATGACTCAGGCGTATATATATATACAGCCGGTACCCTTTTTTTTTTTTTTTTTTTTTTTTTGATAAATCATTATTTTAATCTTATTTTAATCTAAATAACAAATCATAATAATGATGGAAAGATTTCAAACTATATGAATGCGACCAGGCGTCCAGCCTTGAAGTCATACTTGTTATTTGGAGTCGGAGATGTCCATACCCCCTTGCCATAGCCCCATGCGGCTTCCATGCCGCTTCTATTTCTAGACTTCCGTTTATTAATGGCTTCACTCATGGACGCACAACCGGTTTTCGATATAATCCTAAAACACCGGCTGCCCCCCTTGATAACCATCATATGAAAGCTCGTTTCTCATGGTTGCTTGATGCGCACTTCTTACCCCGCATATACACAGCCGGCTATTCATGCCGGACCTCTTCGCAACGCTTGACATGGGGTAGCAGCAGCTCACTCTCCCACAACCGGACTTAATCGCAAGTAGCAATCAAAATGCAACGCCCATGCATCATAGGAGCCGCATGTATATATGTGGAGTAGGGGCTGGGTACTACTTTTATGATTTCCGCATGGCCCATGCCTCTGCTTGAGTGTTATGCAAATATGGGTGAGCAAAGAAGGCGGACGAAGCTCACGGATTCCAGCCGGACTATCCATGGCCTAGCTCGCATATATACAACCGGTGCTAGTGTCGGCTGTATGGGTTGGGCTGGCCAGATGATTTGGGTTTGCTAGGCGCTTGTAATAGCTCTCGAACACTCACGTATACCAGGCAGCCCCTGGTCGGTTGGAGCTAAGTGCCCCGCATCCGGACTAATCATGGTTGTTCACATTCCTACAACCGGCTATTGAGGCTACCCTCACATATAAAGCCGTCTCTTGTAAAATAATGCAAGTTGGACCCGTTGATAACACAACCGGTTAATCATACCGCATATACACCACCGATTATGTATGCCGGATGCTTTGTGAAAACTGACGAGTGCTTAGCTTTAGCTGGCTGGAGGGGGCTGCCCATGGCTTAGCTACTCAAACGATGACGATTGTCGCCTAACTCAAGCCGCACAAGTGTTATATCATCGTGACATTACTCGGCAAATATTAAAGGTTTGTTCATGGCATTTTGCCTTGATAATCAATCGGTTGCCGTTTGTATGTCAACATGCTTGGACATGCCGACTGTTCGACGGTTGGGATAAGGCCTCCTACCGCCTGGGTAGCTTGTGGCACAACGTTTAGGTGCCGGCTGCTCGAGCATAGGCGCCCATGCTCAGCCATTCAACTCTTGCTTTCAAGGCTCAGCATTTGAAGAGTCGAATGCTCATGTGCCTGTACACGTAGCCGCTTGTATGCATGGAAGTGGAGACTTGCTGGCTGCATGCCTTCAACTCAAGGCCGCATGCATACGGCGGTTTTAATAGAGCTCTCGGACATGTACTCAAGCATATCAGGCAGCCCCTGGTTACACATGAGGGATAGCACAGCCCCACCATATGATGAGTGTCATCTAGAGCTAGGTGCGGTTGTCCCTTTACGCAGCCAATATGCTTGACCGGCTGCTCTTGTAGTAACACCAACCGGGAATGTAAGCAGGGTGCCGCTTGCTTTCTATCTTTGCGGTTGATAGTGTCGTAGCTCAGCCGGTTTTGACTATAACAACATGCATATGGTCAACTGCTCGGTTTATTTAAACAAGGCCATGACCCATCAGTTGATTTTTAATTTTGCCGTTTGGCCTTCATACTTAGCCGGCTTCTGTTGTAAACTCAAGGTCGCCCAGCAACTAAATGTCGCTTGTATGTGTTCGAAGCAACAAGCCATTCAGTTCTTGCATTCAAGGCTCGGCATTTGGGAAGCCAAAGGTTCTTGCGCCAATACCGCCTACTACCACCGATTGCCGGATGTTTTAAATAGCTCAAGCTTGAAATGGTGATAGCTCTCTTATAAGGCGTTGGTTGTATGCTCATTGCACCCACAGCCGATTTCAAGGACGCTCCTCATGCGTCACCATGTCGGCTGAGTTCTTGTGTTTGATGCGTATATCGACTGTACTCATTGAGAGTAAGGCTAGTTGCACGTAACTTGTTCCATATATAATTTGTTTTAAAGCTAGCCGGCTGCTTCCACCATATACCAGATGCATGGTGGCTGGGATGAGGCCGGCTGCATTCATAGCAAGGCTGGATGCATATGCAAGACGATACATGTGCTGGCCGGATGCCTTGGTATGGGCTGATCGCAACATTGTAAAATGTACTTGCAGCCGGCTTCATTAATGAAAATCATGCGCCACTCCATGCAGCTTCCTACTTTTATGGATTGGCCGGCTGCTTGCTTACGTTTTAATTCTGCCACCTATGCTAACCCACAGAAGCGTACCCTTATTCATGCAAGGGTCGAAGATTGTTTGGTATGTAAACATCGCATACCAAGCCAATATTGTTGGAGCTTATCGGCTAGGATAGTGCCGGCTGTATTTGGAGTTAGCTTGGCACATAGTTGCCGCTTGTATGCATGGAGGTGGAGGCTTGCTGGTTGCATGGCGCCTCCTCATGCGTAATATTGCCGCCTCCTCATGCATCATAATGTCGGCTCCTCACTCACCATATACTAATGCAAGGAGTTATAGGCATGGATGGTGCCGGATGACACCAATGATTAA